AGCTATCATATATCAGGCTATAACTAAAGTAGCATTGATAATATAGTAACGTTACTGGCAGGACTGTTGATACTGATCCATAACAGAAACTAATGCGCAAGTATTGGGCAGCTATCTTGGTGAGTGACCGGCGTTAGCTACAGAATGATAGCTAACGTCACATGACAACATTGTGAAGTCAGCTATCATATATCAGGCTATAACTAAAGTAGGATTGATAATATAGTAACGTTACTGGCAGGACTGTTGATACTGATCCATAACAGAAACTAATGCGCAAGTGTCAGCCGTATCTCGCGTTACCTAATGCAACTCCACACTACGGTGCTGTGTACCGGAGGGGAGACGCGAGATACTGCTGATACTTGACGATCTGGCGGAGAAAGGTTGTGGAGCCTCCGTTGATATGCCGTTGTAAATGGCTTGATGGAAAGCAGGTGTGTAGTCGGGGAGGGTGCACAGCTGATTGCAGCAGGTGAGTGGAGGTTGAGCCGGGAGCCAGGAGTGACAGCCACCACGCACACACAAACAACACAGACAGGGGGAAACAAACAAACACAAAGGAGACGGCTGGAGCAGTACAGCCACCACAGCGTTACCTAATGCAACTCCACACTATGTCTTACGGTGCCGTGTACCGGAGGGGAGAGAGAGAGAGCAGCGAAGGGGGGGGGGAGAGAGAAGTAATACGGTTTCCTGATAAAGCTGTGGAGAGTATGTGCTGCAGGGAGGTGGATGCACAACGCACCCAGGAACGAACGCTAGCTCCGGTCCTTTTCCCGTGAGGGAAACTGTGGACTCGATGTCCTGACAGGCTGGTATTTGTGCAACCTGCACAAACACAATACTGCACCATGATTACAAATGGTGAAATACAATGTAAAACTACCGAAAAATACCAGCTCACTAAAACACAACCGCTCAGCTCAACGCAACTACTAACTATACCCGCGGTCAGAGAGCGGAGATGTTTACCCTTTGTGATGTAATATGACGCGTTTGACGTATGACCTTAAAAAAAAGCCGTTTTTAAGAGCAGAGCTCAAAATTGCTCCTTTCCCTCTGAATCCCTGCCCTTATGTCTCGTAAAACATATCAAATCCTACATTCACTTTTTTAATTGTAATTTTCAAGCAAGTTTAAGCATAAATGTAGAAAAACAAAAACAACCTGCAAAAACAACCTGCAAGATGCTCTTTAAAAACAAACTACAGTTTGTATGTTTTCATGGTAAGTGAAAGTGCACATAGCTGATGAGTTTTTGAAATTTCGCCCAAACAATACTTGTCAGTAGAATCTATTCATGTTGGTTTTGGGATTTTTCAACAGTAAGAAAAAGTCTGTAACGGTGCTTTGAAATATTGTAAAGTAATTGAAAGGCTATACAAACGTATAATGTCACTGTGCTCTGCCACTGAGTCAGAAACATCTGGCCGACTTATTTACCATGTACTAGTAGTTTCATTGTTACGACTATTTTAAAAGCTAAAGTAAAAGTAAAACCAATATATAGTTGGAAAGGTAAAAAGTTTCACTTTTAAACTATTCAATTTAGTGTAAACTTTACACAAACATTTATACAAGTTCTTAAAATTTAAGTAAAGAAGTCCCTGAGTCAGTGACAGTAGACCAACAGGCCTAAAAAATATGCTCAGACCATTTTGGCCAAAATGTTGCACATTCTATAAAACTTAGCACAAAGTAAATGGAATGAGATGGAACCTGTTTGACCCTCAACATGTAACACAGCCCTCACAAGGTCTTTGTCCCACACGATTTAGAGCAACATTTTTGACTGAGTTCATCTTTGACATGCAAATTGCCGTTGACCATTTTCTCATGCTATTAACAGTGCTGACATTTCAAAGAACAAAGACAACTAAAGAATTCCTAAATGCAAAAACCCATCATGTCAGATTCTGTAGGTGTACGGCCTACAAGCTGTCTGCCACTTATTTTTCGGTCCTGATTAGGCACTCATGTGCTTCTTTTTTGAAATGTTTTGGAAATACTGGTCCATAATGGATGCACATAAACAACCCTATATTTATTTTCCGATATTGTGTTATTCTTTATTGTTTTAAACAATGTCTTGTCCGAAAAAAAATGAACCCATTTGAACTTTCCGTGTAAAATAAGATGTCTACGTAAGAATGAGTTACGATTTACTGAACCAACACTCGTGTTGATCATGTGCAATTAGGATCAAACCTAAAAGTCCATGTCTCAAATAAACTTCACACAAACTCACACCAGTAATGTGTAACGTGCTTTTTACAGGTGCGCTGTGCAAACACCACCATGGTTTAATCCTCCCACACGCTGTGACAGGGAGATTGAGGGAGAGATTTCTGAAGATAAATGAACGGACAATCTGCAGCGCGGGCGTTTATCAGATGGAAGCAATGTGTAATAGGGTCTAATGAATTCAAATTAACCGCAGGGCTCGCACAGATCGGCCCTTGCAACAATGAAACCTGTTTGTTTAAGTGTAAGTGTGGGAGTTGATAACTTCAGGGCTGCTGCCTTGGAAACAAAATAATTTTAAATCTGTGTTGTGCAATCTCTTAACTCTGCATCTATGATGAGGGATCACCCAGGCCAAAATCATCAAACGTTTTTTACGACAAAAAACGAAGCTGGGATGGGGAGAGAACTTGCTTATGCACACAGAAACTCAGCATGGTGTACAAATACACCTGGAAACACACCTATTATACATGGCAACTGCAACCAACAACCACTTTAAACACAACCACAGAAAAGAGGTGCTTGCACGCCGCTGGGATTCACTACATCCCGGTCAACAAGCAACAATAACTGAACAGCAAAACATGAACCCACAATGTTAGTCTGTTTGATGTTCCTGGCTCTTTTTCCCCCCCTTCTTCTTTTTTATAATCTCTTCTTCAATAGAGGGGAGTCTGAAAGGCAGAGTAGAGATGTTTAAGAACACGGTTTGTGGCGGTAAAACCCACAAATAACAATAAGCGTTTTACACTGAGTAGGAATTCAAAGAACTTGGGGAGAGAAACACAGAGACAATACTTGGCTGTGAAAGAGTGACGATCGCTCTAACATGCTAAATCTCTGCCTTTGTGCCCCGAAGCTTTGATCGCAAACTTCCAGCGAGGCCTCTTGTTGAGTCTGTTTGCTCTTATTCACATATATTAAGACCTGCCATTGTGTGCAGACTTCAGAAACAGCCTGTGGTATTTGCTCAAAGATTAGTTTACTTAAAAGCTCCAAAAAAAGGTCCCGAAATCAGAGGGGAAAACCTTCCATTGACAGAGATGAGAGGTAATCTGTGCACATTTCAAGCCTCTCCTACAGTAGAGTGTGTATCCACATTGTGTGTGTGTGCATACGGCTGTTTCGGTGTGTTTCTTTTGCTGTTAGATAAATATGTATTGAAAGTGTTGGGCTTAAAAGAACAAGCGGCAAGAGCATAAACTTCTTCTTTCATACTCTCAGTTCAAAACACTGTTTACTGAGACACAAGGAGGTTAGAGGTGAACAACCTCCGAAGAGCTGACACAGACCTGCCAAGTCTTTGTGTGTGTGGACTTTAAAGTGCATGTATCAGAGGGCTTGTTTGGATGTTGCCTACAAGTTTATCATCTTCCAGTGAGCAGTCAAGGTTCATTTAGGTCACTGTGGTTCCCTGGGGTAACGGAGTGTGCCAGCGGCCGGTCAGGCCAACGAACATCGCTGACCTTTGGCCTTTACCCTTGTCCCATGAATGACCCTGCCAGGTGATTGACTACAGCCTGGTAGGTTATGAGGAACCAATGAGCTTCAACAATGTTAACAGATGACCTCAACATATCAGCGTTTACACCAAGCTCCCGTTCATGTCAGGTGATTCTGCAGAATCTATTATTTTCAATTGATGTACTAAGAGCAGAGTTGGGAACTAAGTATATTTACTCAAGTACTGTGCTTAAGTACAATTTTGAGATACTTTTAATTGAGTATTTCCATTTTGTGCTACTTTGTACTTGTACCCCAATACAATTCAGAGGTAAATTGTGTACTTTTACTCCACTAGATATATTTTGTACCTTTACTTTGCAGATTTGGATTAAGGGATTAATCGATGATATAATCAAGTCTTCAATCAGACTTTAGTTCCACCTGGAGTAAATTCACAAGCTACCCTGCAGCATACAGAGTCATTCAAACTAGCTGCACCTTTACCAGCTTTGAGAAACACATTAATGCATCAATAATTACAATCAGAACATATAATATATATTATTCTTAAATTGGCCAATTTGCATAATAAATATTTTTATACATAAACTATATTTTGATGCCAATACTTTTCTGCTTTTACTTGAGTAACATTTTTCTATGTAGTACTTTTACTTGTAACATTGTATTCCAAAACTTTGGTCCTTCTACTTTTACTTAAGTACAATATCAGAGTACGTCTTCCACCTCTGAATGAGAGGATGACGTGTTTTTGTACACTAACCCAGAAGGCAGCGTTGAACTAGTTCCCCTTGGAAAACACCCAATGGGATTCTGGATTATTGCAAGATTAAGCTCTTACGCAAAAGTTCATTTTAGGGAAACGTTAAATTCAGCAGTATTATCTTGACTTTTGTTGTTGTTGTATGTGCAATTGCCATGAGTAAAAAAAACAAAGGTTCAACAATGTTAACAGATGACCTCAAAAATATCACTGTTTACATCACGCTGACATTCATTTTGGGCGATTATGCGGAATTAATTATTTCCAAAAGATCGCTGCAGGGATGTATTTCATGTATGCAAAACAACACCTTAAAAGCTTGTGTTAATCCCAGAGTGTATACATTGCATTTAAAGTAATTCAAAACACCCATTAACTTCAAGACAAGAGAACAAGAAGCCCAAACATGCAAGATAGTATTCAGGGTTTTAAGGCTCCTTCCTGCAGCACTATATCAGTGGTAATGAGGTGTGGTGTGGTTCAAGTGTGTAGATCAGTATAATGATGAGGATGTGAGTCTCAGAGTAATAATTTATGTTGTCATTCCTTAATCCACTACCATAATATGTAAGTGTTTCAGATGCTTAGCCCAAAGCTTTGCTATTCAAAATGTTTTTTAAGGAAAAGAGATGATTTAAAAGACATTTTGTGACCCAACGTAAAATGTTGGTATTACCGACCCTTCAAATGTGCAGCTGTTAAGTATGAAAATGGTATAAAAATCATTATTTAAAAGAAATACAGGAGAAGGTATTCATTTAGGCTATGGATTAAGCGACAACTGAATGATTGCTTGATAGTTTGATTATTAAAAGACACATGATACACACATACCACACTCCTACTCACCTGAGCTATTAACTCCCTCCTTCCGTTCAGTGGCTCTTTTCAAGGAATGTGAGGCAAAACTCTCTCAGGACCTGATGAATTTGGCAAGTAACCTTCTGCAACAAAAAATAATAATAATTAGAAATACACAGAGACATGTATGTACACAGAAGAGAGGTTTTGATTTAACACATTTAGTTATAGTGTTAAAAAAAAACTAACGTTATGTACCTTAAACATAAGACTGTATACAATATAGTGCTCAGAGCTCAAAGTGGGTGGCTTCCAGAAAATGTGGGTCCACTGTGAACCATGAATAGGCCAATTCTATCACATTACCATGCGCTAATAGCAAACAAATCAATTCAAGTCACATTCAAATTCCTCAAAACATACACCTTACTTTAAATATTGTTATCATTCATTTATTCTTTTAATAAGCAAAAATAACAACATTTTGCTTGAAAAATCTAAATGTATGCAATTGGGTGAAATAGGTCAGGGCTTTTTTGGGGTGTTCAGAACAGGGGATACAAAATCCGTATCCAAATATAAAAAAAAATAACCACAATATTTTTTACCAACTGTTACTTCCAAAAAAAGTAACTAGATGATAGATGTTTACTTATGGGGTAAAAAGTTGCTTATATCAGTGATTGCTTGTGTACATAGCCAACATATTGAATTATGTTTAAATAAGAAACACACTCTTATTGAACAGGTACAAATAACTTGTCAATGTCATTTATCAGACATTTTTCGTGTTGACAGCAGTGAAACTTTAAACACAATCACAGTCAGGTTTAAAGGTCTCTGAGAGGCTAATCTTCTGTCATAATTACCCTGACAGATACATTGCTCTTCCGACTGCACTCGGACAGGCCGCTGACCTCTGACCTAAAGATGATCCATGATAACCCCTGACTGATGTGCGTGTTTGCTCTGTAAGGCAAACGTCATTATTTCCACTGGTTAAAATGCAGAAATGGAAAGAGAAAAACAAGTAGGGAGGGATGTCAAAATAATAAATGATGTTTAAGTGAGAAGAAATGGACACAATGTGTAGAGTGACTCTTAAAAAAAACCCACAACTGAACATTTAAACCCTGCTTTACAGCCGCTTTGTAGGTGTCGACGGAATTGACAAATAGACAAACTATAGGTTACTTACGTAACCCTAGTACTCAGAGTAACATGAAGTGAGATGTCTCACTATGGGATGCGCCTCAACGCGTATGCAAACAGAAGCATCAATCTCATTACGCCAATCCTGATTGGCTGGTGATCTTGACGTCTACGTCAGGGAATCCACCCACCCTATAAGTAGCTTGCGCTACGACGCAGCATCATTCAAAATAAGCACCTCTTCTCGCTTTGCCTTAGCAAGAAGGGCCGTCTGGTGAGACATCTCACTTCATGTTACTCTGAGAACTGGGGTTACGTAAGTAACTTATAGTTCTCATTCATAACACTCCGTTCGATGTCTCACTATGGGATATTGAAATTCCCGTATTGCTAGGCATGCTTATCTCGAAAAACACCAAAACAACCAGAACTTAACAGGTAGAACCCTGTCTCAACACGGGGCCCAGCACTGCACGGGCCACACTTGGAGCAGAGACATCTAGCCTGTAAAAGCGGACAAAAGTGAGCGGTGAGGACCAGCTCGCTGCTGCACAAATGTCTTGGATGGAAACACCCTTGAACAAAGCCCAGGATGTAGCCAGTCCATGAGTAGAATGAGCACGCAGGCCCGTTGGTGCCTGCAAACCCTGACTCGTATAAGCCAGAGCAATCGCTTCCACAATCCAGTGGGAGAGCCGTTGCCTGGTAACGGGCTTGCCCTTATGAGGGTTAGCCCAGGATATAAAGAGTTGGTCATTGCATCGAAACTCTTTTGACCTGTCCATATAGGTGCGTAAAGCACGGACTGGGCACAGCAAATTCGGCCGCTGTTCCTCAGAGGAACACAGCGGCGGAGGAAATGCCACAATGTCAATGGGGGTACATGAGCCAACCACCTTAGGTACAAAGGCAGGGTTGGGCTTCAGCAACACTCTCGTTTGCCCCGGGGTGCATGAAGGATGTACAGAGAGCGCATGAATGTCACTGACTCGCTTGGCAGATGCCAGAGCCAGTAACAACACTGTCTTCAGTGACAGGTGTTTCATGTC